GGGTGAGGACTCAGAAGCTTTCAGTCTGAATCGAGGAAACATGATCAGCCGTAAATTTGGAAGAGGCCGTAAAATTGAAAGAGGTAAGTTTAGCTGTGGCCTGTTTTGTTTCTCTGATTTTTCAGTGTTCACCCCAATACCTGGCTCCAGGTTTGTTTTTATTAATAAGATCTTCTAATATTCGTGCTACAGGTAGGGCCTAGTGGGAGGAAGTTAGGTTATTGGAGGCATGCCCTTGAGAAAGATATTGTAACCCCTGTGTCTTCCTGTCTCTCTTTCTACTTTCCACCCCAGGAGCTAAGTAGCTCTCTCTACTGTACACTCCCACCACCAAGGACCCTTTGCCTTGCCTCTGTCACAAAGGCAATAGGGGGAGCAACCGTGGGCTGATGCCTCTAATAAACCTTCCTTTTATTCTTCTCCACGCCTCCCCTCCCCCCCCCCCCCCCAGACAGGGTTTCTCTGTAGCTTTGCACCTTTCCTGGAACTCACTCTGTAGCCCAGGCGGGCCTCTGCCTCCCGAGTGCTGACATTAAAGGCATGTGCCATCACCTCCCGGCAAACCTTATAATATGGTCTGCATAGTGAGTTCCAGGCCATCTAGGGCTGCTTAGTGAGTCCCTGTCTCCAAATAAATACATAGAAGTGAAAAAGTATTCCTCAATAGAGACCTGCCATTTAATAGATTCCAGATCCAGTCAAGTTGACAAGCAAAACTCATCATCAGGGCCAGGCGGTGGTGGTGCACACCTTTAATCCCAGCGCTCAGGAGGCAGAGGCATGTGAATCTCTGTGAGTTGGAGGCCAGCCTGGTCTATAGAGCGAGATCCAGGACAGGCACCAAAGCGGCACTTGGTGGTGGGAGTATACAGTGGAGAGTATCGATGACTAATCACTTGTGGGTGTTGGCATCTTACATTTGAGCTGGGAGGAATCTCCAAGGCATTTCCAACATTGCCCAAACTGAACTCCAACCTGGCCCTACACGTTGAAGCTGATACCAAACCACCTTCCAGTTGCTGGGGCCAAATCTCTGAAAGTCATACCTGATTGCTCTCTGCCTCTCACCCCACACCTCAAATCATCAGAAAATCCTGGGAGAGGTACAGTCCTACCCACTGAACCAGCTTCCTACCCTGTGCCCTCTGGATGTACTCACCTAAAATTTACAGGTTCGCTCACTTGTAATGGTCTCTGGTAGTGAAACAAAAACATACTGGGCATATTATTTGGAATGTGATTGATATACTTTTAAAACTTGTCTTGTTTCAAGATACTCTCAGCACATGTGTTAAACGTTAGAGCATGAAACCTTTAGGAATTAGGATACCTCAGTTTGACTTCTCATCTTGGGAGTATTTTTATCTGGTGATTAAGCTTGAGGTTGACCAACAATTAATCTAAATGCTCAGCTTTTAGGGGTGTGGTTGAAGTTGGAACCAGGTTGAGACACACTTTCTTCTTTATGCTTCTCTGGTTTTTTTGTTTTGTTTTGTTTTGTTTTTGTTTTTCAAGACAGGGTTTCTCTGTGTAGTCCTGGCTGTTCTAGAACTCACTCTGTAGACCAGGCTGGCCCTGAACTCGCTGAGATCCGCCTGCTTCTGCCTCTGGAGTGCTGGGATTAAAGGTGTGCGTCAACACCAACTGGCTCTTTTCTGTTTTTTAAGGTTTTTTTTTTCCCCTCAAATTCATGATTAACAATTTTTTTTTTTTTTTTTTTTTTTGGTTTTCGAGATGGGGTTTCTCAGTAGTTTTGGTGCCTGTCCTGGATCTTGCTCTGTAGACCAGGCTGGCCTTGAACTCACAGAGATCCGCCTGCCTCTGCCTCCCGAGTGCTGGGATTAAAGGCGTGCGCCACCACCGCCAGGCCCAGTTGATTTTCTAAGGTGAATCTTCAGGGAGCATGTTGAGCTCAGAATGGAAGCCCTGTTTCCTAGTTTATAAGGTTTCCAGGTATCTTCTCCCAATTCCACCTATGAGGAATGGAGCCAGGATAAATCAGGCATGCAGAGAAGTGGCTAGCAGGGGGTGTCTATGTATAGGAGATCTGACAAAGAATAAACCTTACGTTTCTGTGTCTTTCTGCCTTCTAGCTCTTGTTTCTCTCTTTCCCAACATCATCTCATCTCCATCTTTCCCCTCTCCCTATTCTCTCCATTTGTTCCTTATATCCTTTAGGTGAGGTTGAATCCAGCTCAACTACATGGGCTGGGGTGTAATTGGAATGTAACTCCCCCCCTCCCCCAGACAGGGTTTCTCTGTAGCTTTGCGCCTTTACTGGATATCGCTCTGTAGACTAGGCTGGCCTCGAACTCACAAAGATCTGCCTGGCTCTGCCTCCCAAGTGCTGGGATTAAAGGCGTGCGCCACCACCGCCCGGCTGGAATGTGACTTCTTTGTGGCCAGGGCACTACATTCTCCTGAACGTGGTATTTGGTTCAGGAATGGAAATGAAAGCCAGTCCAGGACAGGCTCTCATTTTCTTGCTGGTTTTAAACCCTATAGAAGATGGTATTTACTTTGGTTCAATATGGCCTCCAGTAATCTGGTTACCATAGAAGTGAGGAGAGCTTAGAAAGTTGTTAGTCCTCAGATCAAGCTGAAAGGATGAATGGCGCTAGTGGTGGGGCTGGTTACCAGCGGAAAAGTCATGAGCCTCGGCCAGGACTACCAGAGTTACAGAGAGCTTTATTAGGAGGGAAAGGGGGAAGAGAGAGGGGAGCCAGGACTGGGGGGAGGGAGCAGAGCAGAGAGCAAAGAGAGAGGGTGGGGGTCTGCGTCCGGCTTTTTAAGGTGCAGATTGTGACCATGCCAATGGGTACATAGGCAGACATGGTGCTGGAGAAGCAGCTGAGAGTTCTACAACTTGCACAGGCAACAGGAAGTAGTCTGAGACACTGAGGGGTATCTTGAGCATATGTGAGATCTCAAAGCCTACTTCCACAGTGACATACTTCCTCTAACAAGGCCCCACCTACTCCAACAAAGCCATGCTTCCTAATAGTGCCATTTCCTATGAGCTTATGGGGGCCAACTACATTCAAACTACCACACCAACTACTTCCTTTTCTTTCTTCCTTCCTTCCTTTCTTTTCCTTAAAGCTGTTTGAACTGATTTTGAATCAAATGAAGTCTAATACACTAGAGACAATAAATAATATGAGGAAGATCTATAGAGACCTGTAACTTTATAATATCAGATTCTAACTGAAGAAACTGTGGCCCTGAGCCAAGAAAAATGGAGGTGGAGGGCAAGGATATAAAAAATCCTTAGTATTACACAAGGAAAAAGAACTCAGGTTGTCAGTGATTGTCTTTGGATACCAAGGCTCCAGCTTTACAGAGGACATATCAGACTTTCAGGGTTGAATAGCTAACAAGGGTCCGTATTTCAGGATCATCAGTGTCTAGTATGGCTTGGCTTTCCCTGTATTTAACCCACTTGAGGAACCATGGATCTTCCATTTTTTTTTTTTTTTTTTGTTTTTTCAAGACAGGGTTTCTCTGTGTAGCTTTGCACCTTTCCTGGAACTTGCTTTGGAGACCAGGCTGGCCTCGAACTCACAGAGATCCGCCTGCCTCTGCCTCCCGAGTGCTGGGATTAAAGGCGTGCGCCACCACCGTCCGGCGGATCTTCCAGTTTTAAGTATTCTGGTTCCTCAGCATTTGGATTGTAAGGATTGGCTTCATTGGGCAGTCTTCACTGCATTTTTTGTCATTGTAATCAGTTTGAACAATATCATGCATTTCTGGGGACCTCAGTATTTGCAGGCTAATCTACCTCAATGGTGCTGAAGAAGTCCACCACTCTTGGTGTGCGCACAGCTGTTCTTTTGCTCATGTTCTCTTTTAAATGCACACTGGGCTCGTGATTGATTGGTGGATGGAATACAGAGGAAGAGACATACTTTAGACAACCTGAGTGCTTCTCCTTCCTTCCTCTTAGAGCCCTGAGTTGCCCTGTTAGTGACTTAGGATGACCTCAGATGGAAGAGATCACCCACAAAGACATAAGAAATACTCCCAGGAGTACTTTATTAGGGGACACAGGGGTGCCAGATATTCAACATCCATCCACTGGCATGAAAGATCACAATTGAGACCAGTGGAACTGTCCAGCAAAGCATCTGATTCATGAACTATAATAGAATTATTGCTTAATGAAGCTAAGGTTTTTGTTACACAACTAGACTTCTCCTCTGGAGGCATACAGTCACTCTCAAACAGGCAGTTCCCCTGGAGCAAATGAATTACAAAAAGGAACCCTCCTTCTCCAGGCTGGAACACAGGTTGCTAGGGTACAGAGCTGGAATGGGAATGGCCCAGCAGGAGGAGTGGCCCCCCAGCCTGATGCCCTTTGTATAAAATAGGCACTGAACCATTTGAGTAGGTCAGGGCTTGGAGGGTATGGAGGAATATCTTCAGGTAGCTAGTCGGCACCTGTCCTTACTCATTCCTCATGTATGATGGGCTCTTGAATTGCGTTCACTTTGTCTAGTGTCCCATGGCACTAGAGACCGGAGCTGCTATCCTGGCAAATGGCAGGTCATGATCATCTCCAGGCAATGCTGGAGCCAAGCAAACACAAACTGCCTTGAACAGAACATCTGGTTCTTGGAAGGGCTTTTGTCCCTCAGTGCTTTGCTCTCCCAGCTCTCTCTCTGCCTCAGGCAACAGCCACCCATTTCCCACATCCTGGAGTTCCAGACAGACTTCCTTGAGGGACATGCATTTATTTCTTCCTTGTTAGTTCCTGGAAACCATTTCACATTCATATCTTTTGGGTTGATTTGCCACGAGGTAGGGATAGAAAAGCTATTTTCCTTCACACCATACCCTGTATCGCCAGTGTATTTTGTCTGTCGGATGTTACTCTTGCCCACACACAACCACGCTGACTCAAGACAAGGTGGAGTCGGATTAATCCTTGAGCCCAAACTACCAGTCAACTATTCTCTGACGTAAACATCATTAATCAGTCCATTTCTTTCCCGGCTTACCTGCAACCACAGTTTGCCCAGAACAGATAGACTGTGTTGGTCTTTGAATGCGGCTATGGTTCGTTACTTACACTAGGAGTTCATCCAAAACTGTCTACTGATGAATTTTTTTTTTCTGCATAGTGAGGGTAGGAACAATTCGTCGACTATTGAAGATTGAACGTTTTGTCTCTCAAGATACGGGCTAGGTCAAAAGTCTGAGAGCTTATCTGTGCTTCCAAGAGATTGACAGGCCAAGGAAAAGAAAAGTGAATGGAGAGGAGGGGGGGAAAAAAAAAAAACCAAGGGAAAAGTGGGGATAAAAGTGAACGAGAAAGAAAGAGAGAGCAGCTGAGAGGAGGAGGAGGAGGAGGAGGAGGAGGAGGAGGAGGAGGAGGAGGAGGAGGAGGAGGAGGAGGAGGAGGAGGAGGAGGAGGAGGAGGAGGAGGAGGAGGAGGAGGAGGAGGAGGAGACAGGAGGCGTGGAGAGGGCTAGGCGCAGAGAGAGCGGGAAGAGAGGCAGGGAGGGCGGGCAGGAGCGCGCCGGGCCGGCTCACTGCTCCGCGACGCGGGGGTCAGGAGCCCGGGCTTCAGCGGCGGCCTGCGAAGACCCACCCCCCGCCTGACGCGGAATGGTCGCGCCCAGCAGTGTCAGCCAATGGGAAGGCAGGATGTTGGCGAGGCGGCGGTGAGCGGGGCGCTCGCTGGCTGGGGTGGGAGGGGGACGGCGGCCGCCGCCATGATGCTTGTTTGCTTTCAATGAAAACGAGGGGGGCGCGGAAGAGGAGGCGTCGGCGTCGGTGGCGGCGGCGTCGACGGCGCGGAGGCGAAGGCGGCGGCGAGCGCGGCGAGGAGGGCGAGGCCGGGGGCCGAGGGGGCGGCCGAGCGTAGCGGCGGCTCTCGTGGGGGTCCGGGCGGCCGAGGCGGGCGGCTGAGGAGCGGCGCCTGAGGAGGGGGAACAAAGAGCGGCGGCTGAGGCGGCGGCGGCGCTGCAGCAGCGGGCGGGACTGGTATGGTGGTTCCACAGGGCAGACCCCGCTGCACTCACCGGGCGGAGGAGGCGGCGGCGGCGGCGGAGGAAGGCGGCGCAGCTCGAGAGGTGAGCGCGACGGGCTCAGCGAAGTCCCGCCGAGGCTCTGTTGCCTGCGCTCTCCCGTCCCCCGGGGGTCGCGCCCTGGGGACCCCGAGCGCGCACTCACTCACAACTTCGTAGTTCTCGGAGTGACGTCTGTCGGTGCCCCCTCCTTGACACACAGCAGTCGCGATCCCGTCGGTCCCCGGGCCGCGCCCCCGCGCGGTGTCCCGGGGCTCGGCCAGGGTGTGTGTGTGTGGGGGGGGAGTGTTGATTGACGGCAGTGCGGCGGCGTCCAGAGGGGCGGTGGCGTGAGCCCTAGCTTCTGGGGACCCCCCCCCCCAGGTTCTGGTCACGCGCACCTGGTGTCCCGGGACTCGGGGCTAAGACCGGTGGCAACTTTGGTGAAGTGGCTGTGTGGGGTGGCGCACTGGGCGGCGTGGAACTTGGCACTCCGTGGACAAACAGCGCTGACCTTTTTCCTCCCAAAAGTATCTTAAAGTCAGTTTAACGCAGATATTTACTGTTAGGGCGGGGCGGATTACGTGGCCAAAGAAGTAATTATCAGATGTAGAGATTATTGGACTCAGGATTTGAGTACCAGTACCTCGAAGACAATTTTCCCTAGTTTCAACGCCAGTGGTTATTTATTTATTTTATTTTTGGTATCATTTTTCTCCCCTCTTTGACCCTTTCTACTTTGACACGGTCTTCAGAGTCTGTTCAGAAGCAGCTGTAATCTTTGCTTTTAGCTGTTAACTGCAAATGACAACATTGTCAACGTCGTCTTGTTACTGCGTTTAAATAATCTGCTTGAATTTGAGTACAGGCAAACCTGTTTTGCAGGTAGACTGCCCGATTATCGCTAGGGCTAAATTCTTGCCTACCTATGTTTGGGATTTTTAACTTTGGAGAAGAGAGGGACTGAATTAAGCGAAAACCAATTTGGTGTGTAATAGCACCGTTTTCCACACTTCCCTGGAATTCTCCACCATTCCACAGCAGTTCTGTAGGCTGGTCAAAATTTGATCGTGAAGACATATTTTCCTTTTTGTAATTAATTGCTGCTAGTGTTTTGAATGTGATGCTTTCTAGAATAAATTTTAGAGTTAAAAATTACATGGAACTAGTGGTCGAATCTAATTCTCTTACACTGCCCACAAGAAAACTGAACCCTAGAAAGAATAAGGTGACTGGACCAAGATAATACAGTTAAGAGGGCAAATAACAGGCTTTGTGTATTTTTGAAGACATGTTACGTGTGTTATAGTCATTAAGTATTTGTTTTTTTGGAGGAGGGAGGTGTTTCAACAGTAGATAGTAGATCAATGTGACTATTTCTCAGTAGGTGTGCGCGGTGCTTGCTAACCTGGACAAAAAGTGTGTGATTAAAAAGACGTTTTGTGTGACTTGAGATGTCTCTTTGGAAGTCAATCCTATGTAACTTCAGATGTGTCTGGTGGCTGGGAAATTTCAGGCTTTTTTTTTTTTTTTTAAATTGAACAGGCAGAAGTTGGTGTACTCAATATATAGTCCCTGCTAGCCTGGAACTCAGAGATCCTCCTGACTCTCCCTCTGGAGTGCTAAGATTAAAGGTGGCGGTGGTGGTGCATGCCTTTAATACCAGAAGAGCCAGGCGGATCTCTGTGAGTTCGAGGCCAGCCTGGTCTACAGAGTGAGATCCAGGAAAGGCATCGAAACTACACAGGGAAACCCTGTCTAAAGATTAAAGGTGTGAAGCACTATGACTAAGTTTTTCATATAGTGCAGCTCAGAAAGGTAATATATGGATACTGGAATAAATGATTGAGGTAGCCTATAGTTGTATTCTTTGGTTCTTGTGTGGTGAGAGAGCAATATCTTCAATACATTTGCAACCCTCTTCCTATGTGCAAGATCCACTGGTTAGGAAGCTCTGGCTTAAATGTTTTGTTATTTTGAGAATGTTCACATATATTCACCTAAAAATGTATACTTAAGATTTAGATTATAAGTATGCAGTACTATATACACACACACACACACACACACACACACACACACACACACACTCTCTCTCTTTTGTTGTGGAGGAGAAAGTTCTGATTTTAATTTTTTGAAACCTTTAGCTTCTACAAAATCTTTTGTTGGTGTACATTTTTCCTTAATTGTACCTGTTACCAGGCTATGGAGGTAGCCATGTTACAATGAAATGTGGTTAATAAACACCACTTGTAAGTTAAGTGCTGACTAAATCCAAGTATAACTGTATATGCATAGTATATGTGCATTGGAGTACAAAGGATTGCAATAGAGTTTGGTATTTGAATAAGTAATTAAAGAAGAAAAGAATGGTTATTTGCGTCTAAGATGGAGGCTGATTCAGGCTGCCTAATTTTACTTTGGGTTTTACTTTTCTTTTGTCCATTTATATTTTTCTGATAGGTTGCACATTGAGGAATAGCATATGATGGTCCTGAGGTAGATGATGAGAATTCAGAGGTGACCATATTCATTTTCTGCCTTCCTGTCCTGCATAGGAGTAATGGGTGTACAAAGTGCTTCAAGGAACAGAAGAATGATTAAATTTGTGGAGGGTGTGGTGCCAGTTTAAAAAAAGTAACACTGACTAGAAGCTTGCCAAGTTGGAGAAGGGGATCATTCTAAACAAAGGGAACAGTGAGTGTACTGAGGTATCAGGTTTGGGGGTAAGGCCAATGGTAAGATGTTACTGGAACAGTGGGAGTGACTTGAGAACAACTTGACAAAGGTGTGTCTAGCCTAGATTTTGAAGGACTGCTTGCTAAGCTAAAAGCTAGTTCCTTTCTCCTGTAGCAAAGGAGGGTCTGATTTTTTAAGCAAGGAACAAAGGTAACTTGGCATCTCAGTGTGGGGAATAGAGACTGCAAGTAAAATTCAAATTATACTTGGACTAATACTGAGTGACTGTTTTTTGACTTGGATATGGCATTTTTTTTTCTTTGTTGTTGTTGTTGGTGGTTTTTTGAGACAGAGTTTCTCTGTATAACAGTTCTGGTGCCTCCCTTTGTAGACCAGGCTGGCCTCAAACTCACAAAGATCTGCCTGGCTCTGCCTCCCAAGTGCTGGGATTAGAGGCGTGCACCACTACTGCTGGCTGAATATGGTATTTGTGTGGCTCCTTTTGTAATGGGCTTGAAGACTGCCCAATTGCTCTATATAAAGGGCCATATAAAATCATAATGTCAGTGTTTTGGAAGATGTTAAAAGCAGTCAAAACAGTGAAAGCCCTAAAATGGTACACAGGAAACTTCAGGTTTGTGAACTTTGCTTCTTAGAGGTTTAGGCAGGCTGGAGAACTTAAATGGAACACTTAACCCTTTGCTCAACTAGAAATCAAAGCAGTTAGGCTGTCTAGAAATATTATGATGGTTTGTTAGGATATAGTAAGTATTTTGTGAAATTTTGGGAAAAAGACAAGAATTTTTCCTTAAAATTTCTGGAAGTAGAATATTGAGACTGTGAAGCCATAGAGCTCTTTATTTTTATTACTTTTTAATTTTTCCTTTTGGGTTTTTGAGACAGGGTTTTTCTGTGTATTCTTGGCTGTCCTAGCACTTGCTCTGTAGACTAGGCTGGCCTTGAACTCAGAGATCCACCTGCCTCTGCCTTCTGAGAGCTGGGATTTAAGGCATGCGCCACCACCACCTGGTTATAGAACTCTTAATAAAGCTGATATTACAGGTTTTGTATGGAAATCACAGGACTTGGGAGGAAGTGGAATCCCAATATAACACCCAAAACATTACAAAGAACAGGAACTTGTTAAGAATGCTGTAGGAATGATAGAATAAAAGGTTATTGAATCTACTTTTAAACTAAACAGCAACTATTAATCTTAAATACATTGGTATGAATTTTTGTATATTGTTACAAATTTAAGGTTATTTTTGTTATACTGTATATATGTTTATACTCTTGTTTAAGGTATACAGCTCATTTAAAAATGTATAGTTCTAGTCCTTAAAAGCTTTATTACAAACTATTTAGGATAATTAAGAAATACAGGTTAGTAGTTAGTTATCTATAATAACAATCAAACTTGCAGTCATGTTAGGTATGTTTTCAAGGTCAAATATATATTTTTAGATAGATGGTTTTCAAACACTTTAAAGACTTACAAAATATGGCATTTAAGATGTTTTAATAACATAAGGCATTTTATGACAGTGAGACACATCTGCTCCTGACCGCACCAATCTACTTCAAAAAAGGATGATGGGCATTGAAAAACCTCCATATGGAGTTTGCTTTCATTTGTGGCAAAGTTAGCC